CCGGAGCAAAGAAAGGGAGGCAGCTGGGAACACAGAGACTGACCGAGGGGCATTCCTGTACCCTCTGACTCCTGTTGCCCCCACCGCAGCACAGCCACCCAGGACCCTGGGGAGTCACCTCAGGTCTCAGCTGTCTGCGGGGACACACAGCCAGGGCTCGCTCAGAGCCTTCCCTGGGAACCCACCGACTTCCAGATCTTTTCCCTCCCACGGGGAGCCCCCTGTTCATTCTGGGAGACCAGCTGGATGAGGCCCAGGCAAGGCCCAGACACCTCCCCATCCCTGCTTCCTGAGGTGCTTCCTTTGGGGCGTCTCTTCACAGCAGCCCGGGCTAGGAGCATGGAGAGGGGGCCAGGCCTTCCCAGGAGCAGCTGCTGAGATGCTCAGAGGAAGGCCCCCCGGTCCGTGTGTCTAAGGGCTCCATTCGTCCTCCCACATTCAAGGCACCCGAGCTGGTGGCAGCACTCCGGCCTCCCCGGCCCACACCCTCTAGCCATTTAGCTCCGGGACTTCTAAGTGGAAATCAGGTTTCTGGTCCCCTCCTCAAGGACCCTCCCCTGCCTTCATTGTGCTTTGCGGAACCTGAAAGACCTTTGACCCTCCCCACCTCCTTCCTCTAGGCCCCCTTCCCCCCTCCCTCTCTACAGGTGACACCACTACAGGGATACGAACCCACCACAGGAGACGCCAATGCACAGCTCCGATAAGGAGCCCGGTGTGGCACGTTGGGCATCTTCCCTGGGAGTGTGAGCATGACTCTGGCCCAGGGAGCCACCATTTCCTTGGGGTGTGACATAGGCACATCCTGGGGAGGGAGGGGCCTGTGGTGGGCAGCAGGGGAGGGCCTGGGTCCTCCCATTGGTAACAGGCTGAGAACCGGCCCAGGGACAGGAAAGGTGGTCCCTGGGGCTCCCTGCACCCCCCCACAAACACAGACTCAGAGAGCAAACCAGGGGCCCCTCTTCTCTGAGTCTAAAGCCTGAAGTTGCCGGCAGTCTTTCTTCAAGAGCACAGGTCTGTCTCCTAAACTTGCCCCCAATAGGAAGAGTAATAATAATCATCCCATTTTTCTTTCTTAAAATATCTGAACTTTTAAAGGGGAGGGCCGAAAGGAATCTCGTGCTGTGTTCAAAGCACAACGCCTAAAATGCACCATGAGTGTAACTCTCCAGGGTATCATGAAACCATCACTGTGAAATCCAAACCCTCCCCCAACCTTAAAACCTGTTATCTTCTCCAGCTCGGGAGGAATCTGGCCTCCCTCCTTCTCACCCACGGCTCACACACCGTACTTCCAGCCACACATCTGAGCTGGCCCCCCTGGGAAGCCACCGCTCCTCACCGCCTGCCTGGACTTCCCACCTGGCCCTGGAGCAATGACAGAAGGCCTTGGGATCCTGCTCCAGGTGCTCTGAGTCCGTGGGGGGGGGGGCGGTGAGAAGGAAATCAGGATGTAAATCTCCTAACAGAGGCCTTGTCTGGATTTCCTCATCGCCGTTGCCCGCGCTGGATTTGCTGCAGGCCCAATAAGCAGTGTTTCAGAAACATAGGGTTTCAACTTCCGGCTCGGATCGTGTAGCCTCACCTCCTCTCTGGCCAGCTAGAGCCACGGTATCAGGGTGAAGTGGAGCAAAGGCACTCGGGCTGTTCCAGGGATCTGGCCGGCAGCCAAGAGCATCATTATCTCCCCTTGGTGGCCTGTATACCCAGTGACGAGATGCCACAGGGTGGGGGCCTCCATCGTGCCAGGTCCCGAGCCAGGATCTTCGCCAGCAAAACTGCTAATCCCTGCAACAGCCCTGCTGGACAGGCCACATCTCCCTACCTCCCAGATGTGGAAAATGAACCTCAGAAGGGCAAAGTCACTTGCCCAAGGTCAACCAGCTAGAAAGTAGCAGAGCTGGGCTTTAAACCAGTTTTTAAGCGAATGCCACACGGAACTGAATTACGGCCCTCTCCCGGAGTCGGCGCCCCGTTCTAGGCCACGATGATCTTGAAGAAAGCAGTAGCTCAAGTATCTTCATTCTGAAATCCCCAACCCCAGGGTAAATCCCTCACCCCCACCAACAGGAGACCCACGCACCGTCCCGGTTTCCTTGTCACAGCTTCGGCCGACTGGCCCTGACCACAGGCAGCCTAGCCCCTAAAACATAAACCCATTTTGGTCAAAAGGGAGATTCTGAGAAGGCATCTAACCTTGGCTAATTCACACAAGAAGGGGGCATACAAGTCATTTCGGATCCCTCCTTGGAAAGTGCTGCTTTCCAGTGGTTATCTATATAACATTATGCCTTTTGGGTCTCCCATTGTCACTGTGGGACAGGCAGGGAAAGTATTATTATCTCTTTTTCATAGGTGAGCAAACAGGTTCAGAGACGTTAAGTGACTTGCCCAAGGCCACACAGCTACTGAGTAGCAAAGACAAAACTAAAACCCTGATCATCAACGTGTATCCCATGATTCTAGCTCGTCCTCTGGGGCTCAAAGAAAGACCAATTTGAAATTTACCACCACTTTCTCTGTTTCAATACAGCAAGTGATAAATGTGACTCTGGAGATTCTGTCTTCTTGCAGTACCCTGGAAGTGCCATCCCACGAGCTGGCTTTGCTATCCCCACTTTCCAGATGGGGAAACTGAGATCTCCAAAGAGGACAAGGTTGGACCCAGCCTAGAGGGCATGAAACTGGGAAGGGAACCCTGGACCCTCCTAATGTCCTTTCTAGAGCTCTGAGCACTCCCCGGTCCCTCCACTGCAGGATTATAGCACCTGGTCTTGCAAGATTCAATTCCTCCTCATAGCTTCCGTGGGCAGCAGGTGGGGCTGGAGGTAGAACAGGGCCACCCCATCATCTGTGTTGAGGTGGGGAACATGTGCGCACATACTCCAAAGAGGACCTGTCAAGTAGCAGGGCCACACTTTTGGGTTTCGGACTTCCTTTTTAAACATGAAAGCCACTGCGGCATTTGGGAACATTCTGGTAACTTTTTTCTCTAAAATTAAGTCAAAGTGATTTTCAAAACCAATCGTCAGCCTTTGAGGACACCCCACTTTGGCTTTTGTGGGAGGACAGAGAGCCGGAGCAGTCGGGAGAGGACATCTGCCCCTTTGGTGTGACCCGTCTGGGTAACAGATGACGTGAAAACACAGCAGCTTTCGAAACCCTCCCTGGACCTCCAGCATCCAAAAACAGGTTCGCCAAACAGCAGGGGGAAGGAAGTATCTTATGAGGAAGATGCAAATCCCATCTGGACAGGACCCTTTAAACAAGATCATTATGTATACACGTAGCTCACTCGGAGTCCACGGGCCCCTGCAGGAGAGTGACCCCCATCTCCTGCCACAGGTCACTCTGCCAGGCTGTCCGGGTCCACTGGCCAAGAGCAATTAGCCCGGGAGGGAGGCTCTTGCCAAGTCTCGGAGCGAACACTTCTGCCGGGCAGAAGTGGCCCAACTAGCCCAAGTCTCCAGGGCCTTCTTCAGGAGCTGAAGGACTAAAAATAACCTCGGCCTTTGTTGTACGCAGCCGGACCACAGAGATGGGGCTGATTTCAGGGAAGCCGAGCATGCGCGAGGGTCCCACTCACCGAGACCTGCCCTTTGGGCAAATGATTTTTCCAGAAATGTGTCAGTTATTGTGTGCTGCTGCCGTTGCCACTGCTACCGAGATTCAAAGACAGCCCGATCCGCTCCAGCCCTCGGGGCTGACTTCCAACACAGATTTCTCGGAAGCTCAGCCTCCCACCTCTTTCTTCTCAAAACATTTAAAAAAAAAAAAAAAAAAAAAAGCCAGAGTCCAGCATGTACCGGGGAGCTTCGGGGACAAGAGCAGCGCTCGAGCTGAGGATTCTGCGTCGCTGCCACCGTGATCGTAAATAATCACATCCCCCCCGCCCCCGACCCGGTTATTTGTTTAGGTGACAATCATCTCTTCCCCATCCTGAAATCTCCAGAGTCGGGTATCAGGAGATAGTGGCAAACATACACGGGGTGGAAGGAAGAAATTACTTGGGAAAAGGAATTCGTGGTGCCATATCAATACTGAAAGGTTGCTCAGTCAGAGCTGCAGTCCTTTGTATCAATGTTTAGATTCTGGGCAGCCCGCACGCACTTTCCTGGCTCTTTAGTCCCAGGGAAAGCTCCAGACCCAGGCTGGCTGGGAGGCAGAGCCTTAGCATGTCCCCTGCCATTGGCTGTGGCTTGTCTCACCTCAAGGATGCCCTTGAGAAGGTCAAGGAACTGCAAAGCCTGATCCTTTGCAAAGCCACTCCCGATGGATAACAAATACTGACGGGCTGTGGCGGGGCCTCAGAATTTTCCTCCCAATGTGTCTGCCCACTCCTCAGCACTTCTAGTACCCTCCCCACCCCCCAGCCCCATCAAGAGACCACCCTGGCTGTAGACACCACTAGGTATCTGCTGGGGGTCCAGAAAACTGCTTTTTTTCTTCACAGAGACCAAGGAACAAAAAAGGATTTTCATCGTCAAGATGGCCTCCCGACTCTGAGTCTAGAAGTTTCCAGGGAGGCTTGTAATAAATAACAACTTCTCCACAGCCCTTTGTTCCTCTGCTGAGTTCAGGATGAAGAGCCGAAGCAGGAGGCGGGAGGCTGTGTGAGGATTTCTTGTAACACAATAGATAGAAAACACCAAACTACACGTGAATGACTGATAGGTGGTCACAAAACAAGCTTCCCTTAAAATGGGAGCCAGTGAGAGGGCCTCAGTGCTGGGGTAAATGTGAGGGGGTTCCACAGGGCCGGGGCTAGGGGTGTTCTTCAAAAGTGCAAGATCCTTCTGGTAGAAACAAGGAGGGAACGGCTGAAGTACCAGAACCTGTGTGTAGGAGGTAAGCAGACACCTCACCCTCTTGGTTCTACGTGGCCATGCCCTCTGTGACCACAGGTTTTCCTTACAGTTGGTCTGTCTGGATACATGGGAGCGGGGGCTTGATCTGGTTTGAGCTGGGCTCCGCCTCAGCCTCTCCAGCAACCTGGGGCCCTAGGCTTGGCAGCCAAAGGCTGAGGCCTTTTCTTTGAGCAGTTCCCAGCACAGGTGGCAGCTCCAGCTTCCTGCAAGAAACAAGATGGCGTTACCAGCAGCCGCTCTCGCACCCTCAAGCCCCGCCCCTTGGCCCTAACTCCCGCAAGCCCCGTTTCTCTTTTGACTTTCACAGCTGAGAGACTGAGTCCCCGGCCTGAAAATGCGCCGGAGCCTGCAGCTCGGCAGAGGGTAAGTGCCGCTCAGAAAAGTTAGGTGCTCAGAGGCGATCAGCTGAACTGCTGTGAAGCCCCTCATTCCTTGGCAGCCACCAGGTCTAGGCCAGTTCCCCGGGGAGGCTTCCTCCCCCACCACTTCTGCCACATGTCCAGGAAACGTCTCCTTGGCCCCCAAGTTGTCATTTCTGGGGGTGGAACCATGCCTCGGTGTTCTCATCTGTACAATGGCCGTGGCCGTACCTACTTCAAAGGATCGTGATCATTAAATGAGACAAGATACGGAAAGGCCTCAGCACAGGCCTGCACCATAGTGAGGGCTCAGGAAGCGGTAGGAGTAGCTGTTGGGGCTACTGTCGACCTCATCATCATTACCTTCTGGGGGCTCAGCCACCGGGGGATTTAAACAGTACATGTGATAGCCACGGTCACAGTCATCGCAGAAGAGTAGCTGGTCCTGGCGGAGTACAGAATAGGTGGAGAGGAAGAGAGAGAGCGTGAATGATTTAGGGCCAGCGTCCGGCCCCCACCTACTCCTCCAGCCGATTCTGTGCGGATCCACCTTCCTGAATGCCCCTTTCCAGGCCCCGTTTGAAGTCTTCCCTGTCCCCTGAATATGCTTTGTGTTCTGCCCATACCTGGAAACTCCTCCTCTGCCTCCCCAACTATGCAAACCCTACCCCCACTTTAGGGTTCTGATCAAATCATACCTCCTCCAAGAAGCCTTCCTTGACTACCACCTCACTTTCAAGCTTAAAGAGATTCCTTATTCTTCTGAACTCCTGTAGCCAGTAACCCTGTCTCCATAAGGCAGAAAAACACTTTACTGCATTTCTGTGTTCCCCATGGTGACTGCCTAGTGCATAGAAAGAACTTTAAGCGTTTGAAAATTTTAATTGAAGTCCTCTTAACCTTACCCTTTCCATCTGTGAAATGGGCAACAACCATACTTGATGGTAACATCTATGACAACTCAGAACCTTTGCAGGATTTCATTATGCCCATATAGAGAAATGCATGTGATATGATGCCACCTTCCAGATCCCAAATGCCTCGTCAGGGGCTGGAGGCTGGAGCCCAGGTGAGAACAGGACCCTCTAGCGCTGTGTTTAACTTCCAAAGACATAGTATACACCTTTGCTCCTGTTCCTGGACACTCTCCCAGCCCCTGACCCCTGCTCTTCTGGACCATTCCCTACACACCTCAAGTCTTCCAGCTCTTCTGTTCTACAGAGATGTCACTAATCTACATCCAATGGAAGTTCTCTCTCCCCTCTTGCATCCCCATAGTTCCCTCTGACATTTAATTGCATTTTGCTTTAGGCCACAAAGCCACGTGTGGAGTAGACATGTACACACAATTGTTTTCTGGAATAGTTCCTTTTGGAATGTGCCTCCTTTGTCCTCTCCTTTACAGATCGTCAGGCCCTTGGGGCAGAACCTTGTCTGAACTCATCTCCACATCTCCTTCAGAACTGGCACACAGTAGCGATGTGTTTGTGATCTGGTCCCCATTATCCAGGTTCAGCTCTGCTCTATTCTTTGGACCTGCTTGGATGCCTTATAAGACGTTTGCAAAACTAAGTTTTGTATCAAATCTCACCCTGGCACCCCTCCGTATGGAGATCCTGGAAAAAGTAGATATTGAACTTGGAAACCCCAGTGAGCAAGCAATAAGGCAGGAGATATCATGAAAGACTTTTTTTTTTTCTCTTTTAAATCATACTAACACCTTTCAGTGGTGCAATGGGAAGCTTTTGAAGAGTTAGCAACAGAGGAGTGACTGGTCACCCATGGAATTTAGAAAGATCTCACAAGCTGCTGTGTAAGAATAGATACCTGGGTGGAAGGAGGTTCGTTCTGCAGGCTGAAAGGCCGCTTAGGATGCACTACCACCATCCAGGTGAGAGGTGAACTCTGAACTAGGGTTGTGGCATGGGGAAAAGGTAAGGGTCCTGTTCCCATTTGAAAGTTATTGATTAGATGTAGAAAATGATAAAGAAGAAATCAAGAACATTACTGGGTTGTGGCTTGGTCGGCAAGCCAGATGATACAACCACCCATTGAGACATGGGCGGAAGAGTAGAGACGTGGGACATAGAAGGCAACCTCAGCCAGAGATATGTTATATACGTCCACAGATAATGCGGTGGAGATGCCCTGGAGGCAGCTGGACAGCAGGAAAGACGCCTGATCATGAGATATGGATTTGGAAGACATTGGTGATTAAGATGACAATGGAGGTCCTAAGAGAGGAAGCCCATGATATGTTACAGATGTCCTTGAACTTGAACTCACGGAGGGATGTCCATTAATTTCTTGAAATTATATGAACAAATTTGAAATTATATGCACAAATGTACATTTTTCGGAGAAAAGAGTAAGTCCATAGCTGTCATTGAATTTTCTGAAATATCAAGGACTCAAAAAAGGTTACTGAGATAAAGGCCAAAAACAGACCCTTGGGAATACCAACTTTAAAGGACAAGCAGAGAAAAAAGAGACTAAGGCAGCAGTCAGAGAGTTAGGATGAAAACCAGGATGGCGTGGTTTACTCCAAAAAATGTACACCACTATTTTGGAGCTGAAGTAAGCTATATGACCATATGATTTAGGAATAATACAAGGAGGAACAAGTTAGGATGGGGACAGAAAATAGGGAGGGAGAGACTTGTCAGAAACAGTATTACCAAAGTCTTTAAGACACATGACTGCTACTATAGCGCTGACACAAGAAGTACAAGAAGGTAGAATACAGTGGATTAGACTTTCCCAAAGGGAAACCAGGTGTCTCTAGATATAAATACATTTTTCATGGGTTGATTATTGTCTAGTACCACATTCTCTTCTTTTCCATGTGCTTTTCAGGATAACTGCTTGTCAGGTCCACCCAGATCGGCCAGCTCATGGTAACCCCCATGAAAAACATAATTTAAGAACCTCTTACTCCCAAGTACCAGAGAACCAGTTCCAGCACAATGGCTATAGTTCCAGTAGAATGGGAACCCTAGTCTGGAATGTGCATGGCAAATCCCTGCCTATGTGAGAGGTACCCTACTGCCCAAGCAGCCTCACCCTTGATTCCTCTCCTACAGTCAACGAGAAACCTCTGTATTAACACTGTTGGTAAAGCCAAAGACCAGAACTAACCCAAATGTCTATCAACAAGAGACTGTTTGAATTAACTAATGAAGAACTATGCAGCTGTGGGAAGAAATGAAGATTATGTCTAAATACTGTGGTGGAGTAATCTCAAAGATATCCAGTAAAAAAAGCAAGGTGAGGAAAACAGGTGTGTTTGTTACTATTTTCCAAGAAAAAGCATTTTTTTTTTTCTGGATTCATTATGCGTATGGGTTCATACACATGAATTCTTACAACTTCATACATATATACATATAATGTTATATTTAAGTAGAAAGGAAAGATAAGCCATAATTTTTTTAAACGGCCACCTATGAGCTGAGTGAGGGAATAGTGTGAAAGAGTAGGAATAGCAGACAGATTTTCTTGAATATCCTGTTTGTTTTAATAGACTCGATTCTGGAACCAGTAAATATTTTGCATAGTCACAAGACAAAATTCACACTGTAATTTCTCTAAAAATAAAAGAAAAATGAAACAAGTGAATCTAATCATGTATGAGTTGATGGCATAACCACACAGAAAGTAACTATTTCAAGTGACTCTAAATCAAGTAGTTTGACTGTACATCCTTAGTCATCATCTTAGTTTTAAACAAAAATAAGTGCGTGTGTATGTGTATATATAAAAATATATTTCCTTTCAGCAATCATATTTTTGGTGGTAATAGTGGAATTAATATTCTGAAACTTGTACGTATCAAATGAATGATTATGTTGTTATTGAGAAGAATTTTGACATGCTTGAAAGAAAATACAGATGTAAGATCAATGAAGTTAAGTAAAAACCCTATAGTTATTCCTGAGTATGAATTAGAAGTATCCGTATAAATTCAAGTATCCATACAAATTCAGCATTTTTGTCTTTAAAACAAACAAAAACATATTTTCTAGCTGTATCCATTTAAAATGCCCCAAAACAATGACTAATGAGGTAAAAATTAGCACCCCTAGTACCCCTATTATGTTCTCTAAAGATCATTGCTGACTGAAATGAACCAGAGGTCCTTGAAGAAATGGCTGGTTCCAGGTCCAGGGCATGAAATGTATAAATAACTTCACATATTGGAAAGCAAGGAAACCATCAAATACTATTATTGGGGTCATGTCTAAAGGACTCAAGATCCAACCTGATTACATTCTCGCTGGTCAAATATAGGACAATTTTAACTGTAATGGATTGAAACAAATAAGATATATTTAAATCCTTGGGTTCATAAAGATACTATTTATAAAAAAAAAAAAAAAAAACCTTGTCACCTTTGGAAGAAGCTAGGGAAACATCCCTTTATTTTTTGGTTTATTATCTTGATATAATTTTAGTCATAGAGAAAGTTGCAGAGAGTTTCTGTACCCACTTTACTCAGCTTCCCTTAGTGTTGACATCTTACATTATGATAGGACGATCATGAAAAGCAGGATATTACCATTGACATAATACTATTGACTAATCTGCAAGCCTCATTTGAAATTCACCAGTTTTCCCACTTCTGTCTCTTTTCCCAACATCCAGTCCAGGATCTCACATTGTATTTAGTTGTCATGTATTCTTAGTGTCCTTGAATCTGTGACAGCTTCTCGGTTTGTCTTTCACGACCTTGATACTTTTGAAGAATCTAGGCCAGTGATTTTGTAGAATGTCACTCAATTTGAGTTTGTCTGATCTTTTTTCATGAGAAGATTAAGGGTGTGCACTTTGGGCAAGAATACTACAAAAGAGATGTGGTGCCCTTCTTAGTGCATCATATCAGGGCATTAATACCAATATGTCTTGTTACGAGTAATGTTATTCTGATCAAATAGTTTAGGCAGTGTCTGCCAGTTTTTACTATAAAGTTATAATTTTTCCGTTTGTAATGTATTAATAAGTAATCTGGTTGGGGAGATACTTTGAGATTATGCAAATAATCTCACCAATTGGCACCAATTGGTTGTTCTTGCTTACAACAACCCAAAACAGTGATGTTCGCCTATTGGTGATTTCCCTCTTCCCTCTACACTTATTAATTGGAATTCTACGCTGAGAAAGAGTTTAACTCTTCCCTATTTATTTATTCAAATTTTTAAATAGCAGTATGGATTTTGTTCTTCGGATTTTAATGCAACACAATCATTATTGACTTTGTTGCTCAAATTATCCCAGATTTGCCATTAGGAGTTCCTTCAAGTTAGTTCCTGTGTCCTTTAGGCATGCTTTATCAATTTTTGAGCACTTCCCTACTTTCTAGTACCACAGGATGCTCCAGACTTTTCTCGTATCTCCAGCCCTAGGATCAGCCATTTGTCCAAGGGTTCCTAATTCCTTTTACTGGAGAATGGTATTTAGAAACCAGTATCTGGGTACCATGGATCCTCATCGCTTCTGCGTTATCATTGCTCCTAGGCTCTCCCAGAGAATAGAATTAGGAAGTAAATGTATGTGTAGGTACACGTGTGCACACCTGTATTTATTTCTGTATCTATCTACTATTACATATAGATATACATGTATACATGTAGAGAACTATACACACACACACACATACACACACATCTTATATAAAATATATAAGCATATAGATACACAATATGTTATATCAAAAATCACAAATTTATCCTAACACCCCTATTCTACCCCCAACACCACAGGATTCAGTCTAGCCTTCCCTCTCTGTTTGACTCTTCTTTCTGTGACATGGAGAACACTGGCTCTCATTACCACAATATATACTTATTGGTTCGGACCTGTACATACATAAGGTAGTTTCAGAATGACTAACTTATGTGCCTGTAAGAAACAAATTTACTAACTAGGGTATGATATTTATAGTCTTTCTACCTTTAGCCTTAAAACACATAGTCGTGTACTGCTTTCTCAAGTTACTAAAGTTAGTTCTTTGCTTCCCCACCCTTCAGGATGGTTATGCTATCTATTTACATTAGGTTCATTTGCTACTGTTCATGTTCCAGCTTCAGTGCCCACCCCCCCCCCCAACATCCTGGTTGATTTTAGTATTTTCCTGTAATAGGGTATGTACAACATTACCTTGGTCCTAAGTGTCAGCGCTATACAAAAAGGCATTCTCAGAGAAGTGCTATCCAACCCCTATTTCCCTGTTCTTTCTGCCCCATCCCCTCCCACTGCTGTAGGTAACCAGTCTCTTTAGTTTCTTGTTTATCCTTCCTGTATTTCTTTTATACAAGCAAACAGATATATATTTTTTTTTCCTATGCCTTTCTTATAAGAATGGCAGCATACTATGGATACAGATATTGTGTTGACGTCGATTTTTTCATTTAATGATACTAAACGTAGAAATTCCATATCAATTTATAAAAATCTGCCTCATTTTTCTTTATAGCTGCAAGTATTCCAGTGATGGCTATGCCATCATTTATTCAGTCATCCTTCTGCATGTGAACATTTAGGTCATTTCCAATATTTTATCACTATAAACAATGCACCCATGAATAACCTTACGCACATGTATCTTCATAGTGTTATAAGTATACCTTCATGGTTAGATTCCTAAAGATGAGATTGCTGAGTCAAAAGGTAAGTGCGTAGTGGTTGTGTTAGGCAGGCATTGCTAAATGTCCCTACAAAAGAGTGGTACCACTTTGTACTCCCACTGACAATGTATGAGGGTGCCAATTTCCCCACAGCTTCATCAACAGAATGTATTCTCATACTCTTTCTTCCCAGTTTGACAGGTAAGAAATAGTATCCCAGCCTTTTCTTCATTTGAATTTTTTAAATTATGAGTGTGTTCAGACATTTTTTTTTTCAAATGTTTCAGGTCTATTTTTACATCTTTTGTGACTCTTCTTTCATGTTTTTACCCATTGTCTTTGTTTTTAATTTATTTATTTAAATTCGAGTTTAACATACAGTGTAGTATTGGTTTCAGGAGTAGAACTTAGTGATTCATCACTGACATGTAACACCCAGTGGCCATCCTAACAAGTGCCCTCCTTAATGCCCATCACCCATCTAGCCCACCCCCTCCACCTCCCATTTTCTATCAGGTCTCTGGTCCCTTGTCCCTCAAATGTTAAGAGTTCTTTATATGTTAGGGGTATTAGCTCTTTATTTGTGGCATATGCTGCAAATACATCCTCCCAGTTTGTTAGCTGTCTTTTTACTTTATCATGGTTTTTTACTATGCAAATTTTTTTAATGTTTATTCATTTTGAGAGAGACAGAGAGAGACAAAGGGATTTAGAACAGGAGCAGCGGAGGGGCAGAGGTTGGAAGAAAGAGAATTCCAGGCAGGCTCTGCACTGTCAGCACAGAGCCTGACGCAGGGCTCAAACGCACGAACAGTTAGATTATGACCTGAGCCAAAATCAAGAGTCAGACGCCTAACCGACTGAGCCACCCAGGCAACCCTACTATGCAAGTTTTTCTGTAGCCAAATCTGTCAGTATTTTCTTTTATTGCTTCTTAATTCTGAGTCACAGAAAATCTTTCCTTATATTTAGACTAAAGAGGAATTCACCCATGTTTTCTTCTAATACTAACATGGTTTTATTTTTTATATTTAGATCCCCAGTCCATTTACAGACTGTTCTTATATATTATGTGAGATATGGACCTAATTTTATCTTTTACAAAATGATTACCCTATTGTGTCAGCACCATTCATGAAAATGTTATTAGAGGCAACCTTTATCCTAATACCAAAGGTCCATAGATAGCTGGGTCAGTCTATGGGTTTCTTTTCTATTCCATTAGTCTATTTGTCTATACTGTTTTAACCAGAGGCTTTATAGTAAATAAATAATAACTGATAGGGCTAGTCTCCACTCATAATTTGTTGTTTTCAGTGTTTTCTTGACTATTCTTGCATATTTATTTTTCCACATGAACTTTAGTATCAATTTGTCTAATTTCATAGAAGAGCTTGTTTGGTATTTTTTTGGGGTTTGAATTAAATTTGTAAACTCAGGAAGAACTGACATCTTTCTAATGTTGAATCATTCTATCCAAGATCGCAAAAATGTCTTTCCATTTGCTCAAGTCTACTTCTGGGCTTTTTCAAAAGTGTTTCAAACCTGTTTTTGTTTTTTCAAAAAAACCTTTTTTTCCCCTTTATATGGGATTTACACATTATTGTTAAGCTTATTTCTAAGTATTTCTTCTTTGTTGCTATTGTAAATGGGATTGCTGTACTATTGTATCCTAACTGGCTGTTATTTGTGCATGTGAAGGCATATATATATATATACATATATATATATTGTGTATATAT